GCTGCAGCTTTAAATGTCTATGAGAAGATTATCATCTGTGAGTTCCAATGGAAAGGTCACGCACCAGAGGTTTCTGTTTCGGTGACAACTCAATGTCGGTGAACAGCAAAGCGAAGATTAGGCCCGCCATTTCGTCTTCTGACAATCCCGGCATATGAAATGTAAGAGTGGGCAGTTCGTATTTCCCAAACATTTTCAACTTCAAAGCAGTGTATGTCGCCACGAACTCGGCATCGGCTTTTCCGACTTCCCTGGCCGTTAAGGTGCCCGTTTTGGTTTTCACTTCATATTTCTTGCTATTTGAATCCCATTGCCATTGAGTCGTCCTAAACGCGTCAACTCAAGGCAATGTGAGTGAAAGGAGACTCACAAGCTGAATGTGCCGGTTCTCGTTCTGACCTCTTTGAACGGCTTGCTCACGCCGTTCACTTCCAGGATTTTCTGCTTCCAGTCAATTCTCCCGATTACTCTAAGCCCTTCCCCCTCAGCTTGTTTCGCACTTTCTGCAGAGAAAGCATTGCCTCTGTAGAGCGTCGTTTGTTTCGGGCTGTCCATCCGACTTCGCTCTGTAACAACGCGGAAGCCGACAGTTTGGCTCGGTGAGCCGTCATTAGGGACGACGTCGCTATTCTGGATATCGTAGTTTGTGAACGTAAAGGACATGGTGAGCAGGAAGTGGACAAGACGGGCGGGTGAAAACTCAGGGTCTTTTAAAGGCAGCTCAGACCAGGAGTGTGATAAAGATCTGGTTTTAATCTGGGATTGGCGCCGGCATTAACCGAGAAAGAACGGCAGAAGTACTACAATAGTTTGCTTCATCAGTCATTCGAGTTGGTTTCATCTCGATTGGTGAGCTTCGAAGATGATATGGCAGACGGCATCGAACATACACTGTATGTTTGATTCAGCTCAGATCCTTTGCAGTACAGAATTTTAAAAATATCATAGATGCCTTGGATCCGCCAAGGTGTATCGTACTTTCCAGAAATGGGAACGCTGGGCAATAATTTCATTCCGATTCTTATCTTGATTCTTATCTGGAAGCATAAATTGAATTCAAAGAACACATACAGACACGTTGATCAATTCTTGAAACAATGCACACTCAAGTTGCGTGTAAAATCGCACTTGTATGACATAAATCCATAAATTCAAGCTGTCAGACGGAGAGCTCCGAAATTAGCGCTCTGTACTTTCTACGAAGCCTGGTCGCAAGTTGCTGACAAGTGGGTAGTTGCACTTGGGCGATGAGCTCCATGCGTCGGCGAATGGCGTTATGGTGGAGGGGTCGGAGTCTGAATTGGTGCCGTGGGCGGCAGGTTCAGTTCGAGTTTGGGCCAAGTGTGGTTTTCAGCGTCCGCGGTCGTCTTATGGTGAATCAATGGGCGGAAGGAGGAAAAAGGGGGGGAAAAAGCAGAAAATTGTTTGAGCTCCAGATCATGCAGACGCGAGTACTCGAACCCCCGAACCGGCAGTTTTCCTCCCAGAGCGCATTATTCCATGGACCCTGTTCGATACACCACATCTGATGAGTATACATAAAGCTGTAAAGCCGACGAGCGGCACGGCCCGCTCCCGGAAATGATGAACGAACAAACACTATATTGAAGCGTTCTTTCCCCGACGCACATCGGTGATATAGTCTTTGAACCTTCTGCGCAGTTCCCCGATACTCTTTCCATCTTCACATTCTATCTTCAAATTTGACGAGACTCTGCGCAGTGAGTTGGGGGTGATATTGCTTCCATAAATTGCAGCGAGAATGTGGACCTGCCACTGCGGGCATATACCATGGCCGTGGGTTCATGGCGTAGGTGCGACACTTGCCATGGCATTTGCCATGGCGTTGCACTTGCGCGTCTAAAAGAACAAAGGGAAAGCCACGAGGCAAATAAAAAACAGATCAAAATTCACACGTCGGATCTTTCGGCGATATCGGGCAAGTTGTTTCGGGCTTGGGTGCGTCGGGTGTGGGGTCTGATGCTTGAAGAAATGTCTGAAACCCCAGGAATATTCACCGAAGCTCGATTTTCAAGGTAGCGGGATGTGGGAATGTGAGTATCATTGTGACTTTCGGCTCTCACAACATCTTGATTCTCAAATGTTCTTCGTCACCTGGTATCTGCTGAACCAGTCTCGCGACTCAGGTTTCTCGATATACCTTGGACCATTTTCACCTCGCTAACCCGTGCATATTAGCTTAGCAATCTACCTATTCTTGGTGAAGCTGGTACACAGTCCCATGCGCCAACAGATCCGAAGGCTGTACGCACTGTCCGCCGCTGCGCTCTTCTAGCCTCACACTGCACTAGGAAAGCCATAGCAGAGTCGCAGCCCTAGAGGGAAATGGGCGTGGTGAAGCTGCGCCAGTGTCGAATCCGGTCCGTTAATACACCAGCGGCGCCCAACTCAGGTCGGCCAGAAGGCAGTCCCATGTGCCTCGGCAGAGCCGGCTCTTTAGGCAGCTCACGGTACCGCAGCAAAGCGCGCTGGTTTTGCACCGCCGCATGTCGCGTCACGTTAGATTGCACATCACGCGCGATCTGACCGCTGGATGGTTATTCCCCCTGGGCCCTCGGCGTGTGCGCTGATCCTGCAGCTGCTTTGATTCTGGGCAGCTGCTTTACACTGTGTTCGTACATTTCGAGGTGAATTGTATGCTCTCTGTTCCTATCTGAGCTCCGTCACTTATCTCTTGTAACTTGTCCCGCGTACAATATTTTGTGTAATTTGAAGCCAAATTTCGAAGCTTATCATCGGGCGCGGGCATTGGCGAGAGGTTGTTGCCTTGAAAAAGGAAAAGGAAGACAGGAGCATTTCTTGAATCTCAGTGGATGATATGATGGGGGAGCTTTTTCGTAACTTGCTGTATCCAACTTACAGAGCCTCGGCAACCGACCAACCACACAATCTTATCAATCTGCTTAGTAATAATCTTATCAATCTGCCAAACGTGACTGGAACAAAGGGAAATGTGCTCGGCCATGGCAAATGCCATGGCAAGTGTCGGACCTACGCCCATCAAATGCCATGAACCCACGCCCGTGGTGCTTGCCCGCAGTGCTGCAGATCTGGATCAAGATTGCTCATATGCCATTCATCACATACGTCTGCGCAGTCCAGAAAACCCTGGCCATTGGGGAGAGAAATCTGAGGATGAGACTGAGAGAATTGGGTGCAGTCCCCAGACAATATGTGCTGTGTGATAGCGGTACGGAGGGACTCCACTCTTGCTTTATCCGGAAAAGGGATGTGATGTAATGCAGGAATAGACCTTAGAATCGCTTTTGATGACTTTCAAACGAGTTAAAAAAATTTGCAACAGATGCTGAGAAATTTATTTTTGCATCGGCAGAAGTGATAGAGTCTGCATGTTTGCGGATGGCTGCACGAAGTTTGAAACGGATGGTGCGGACACTCGGCACTGGAATATTCAGACCAGAGGCCAAATGTGAAAAAAAATCAGTTGACATTTGCTTAAGGTTGGCTTTGAGAAAAAATTTCAGAACAGCCTTCGACATATCCGCAGCAGACTCAAAGGCTTGGGACAGTGCGCGGCAGGCGGAACGGTCAGGTCGTGGGGACAAAGAAGTATCCACCGTGTAGTCAGTGCATGCACCTGTCACAATATGATGTAGCAGCGTACGTCGACATTGCACCAGAGTCATACCAGTATGAGGGATGACATGTAAATCAAGAGAGCGTTGTATTGTAGATAACTCTGCGTGAAATATGGAGATATGAGATTGTGTAACATGATGTCCAAGCAATATATCGTGCAAGAGATTCAATGAAGTCATGGGAGTCAAAGATGCAGTAGATGGCAAAAAAACAGACGTAGATGGGCAGCAGCAAACCAAAGGTTCATCGCAGACACAGCGACGTGCGGGAGCTGGTAGAAATATGAGTTCGTGAGGTCAATGGCAATGACAGAAGACGTACGCTGAAGGATTGACGAGCTGGAATGCCAGAAGACGGGGTCTGGTGCGGAGGGGCCGGGGGGTTGGCGCGGGGGGATCGGCGGAAGTTGAGACAGGGATTCACAGAATGTCGCAGAACGAGCCATTGGAGGGTGGAAGGTCGGAGGAAGGATCGAGAAAATTACTTAGATGCCACATCAGTTCCCACGTCACGGAGCAGAGCGGGCTCCGAGCTGCTTGGCGAGTTGCTTATGCAAAAACTGATGACAAAAATGTGATTTACTGCAAAAACGCAAAATCAGGCGCCCTAAGACCCTTACCTAACGGTAACGGGAATTCTATTTTTTATGTGGAGTTTAGGCGATTATTACAGAGCAGGATTGAGGTGCGTGTATGTCTCTACAGAAATACCTGGACAGATCAAGAGGACATGCTGGGTCACATCAACAATTCATCAAAAAACATTGCTCGCTCGTAAATGAGAGGAGTACATGTCTGAATAGAGTAGTCCACCTTGGTCTCTATTTTTTTTTTCGCAATCATCGGGAGAGCTGGCACCCAGCTGTGAAGGATATGGATGGGTCCGTCCCCTCGGCTCTAACAAGCGAGGTACGAGCTTCATTTGTTAGAACGTCTGTCCACGACAGAATACCCGGCATCGTGCACGACACAGTTTATTTCGTGTAGTAAGACTCCAAATGAATCGGACATGGTATAATGAACACAGCCATGAGCAGAGGCCATTCAAAACTTGGCAGTCCGGGGTTTGACTCCCCGTGTCCGAGTGGGTTGTCAAGATACATAATTTTTGGGACGGAAAGCAAATACTGGCATTGCATCGTTCCTGCAGAACTCGGTGGTATCAAGTACACCACATCTGATTCATGAGGCTTTTACCACCAGCCTAAGCAAACAGTGAGTCGAAACATGTACATGTATCGGACGAACCCAGCGCGTCGCATGCAACTGAATACACTGAACATTCATTTGCCGGATATGAGCCATGCATGTAAAGAAACTCAATCTCCCAACTTCTGGCTAAGAAGAAAATGAATATAAAAATAACAAACGACCACCGCATTCGGACGCGGGGAATCGAACCCCGGACTGCCGGGTTTATGCACAAAATCGCTGCAAGAGAATCTGGCCGCGTCCGTTACGCCACATCCAATTAATGTACCTCTTACCCCCTTCATGAAGCATGAGAACAAGAAAGACTGGCTGAAGAGGAAGAGCACTCTTAGCAATATACACTGTGGATGTGTGAAGGTGAGATCGGCTGCATTGATTATACCAAGCCGATGAGCGACGTTGTTCAGGGTAGAGATTTATGTTACTCGAGGGCCTCGACCGTATATTCCAATGTGAGCACACTACAGAAAAGGAAAGAAAAAGGCGAATATGACCGAAAATTCGGACACGGGGAGTCGAACCCCGGACTGCATTCACCGGTTCCTCATAGAGCCCGACTGTATACACCATGTCCGATTCATTGGTGGGGGATTTTGGCAGTGAAGGCTGCAATTTAGGTATGTACTCGTGGGAAGGGAAGGAGGAGGTATATGTCCGACCCTGGTCATATTCTTCTGGATAGAAAATGTTGAACCACCGAGTATTTGCTGCGTCAAGCGACGGTCTTGGAGCAGCGCACACTCGAGAGATATGCTAAAAAGAAGCTCTCGGGAATAATTCAGACGCGGGAGTTGAACCCCGGACTGCCAGTCAGGTTTCTGATTCAGGTACAAAGTGCAGCAGTGTTTCCTACACCACGTCTGATATATTTGCATGTGAAGTACTTACTTCCTCAGTAAACCTGGGTGAAGGATTACTGGGCACTTGCAGACGAATTTCTGGCTGCGAAACGGGTGAGCAAATTTGATCATAAATGTATCCTTTTTTTGTTCTGGCAGTTGGATTGAAGCTCTTGCAGCATCCCTGTACATTATAACGGATAACGATGACCGGCGGAGAATTTGACGGAAACCGTTGATTACGAATACGTGCGTCGTAATTATATCGCTTGGACGAGCCGGTCAATTTGGTCTTCCTCTTCTCGAACAGCAGAATGACACATTCGTTCCGGTACCCTTGCATGCCTGTCTTGCCGCAGCGGCTTTCCGGTCCGAAACGCCTTGTCCCCTTCGCTTTGCTCCAGTTCTCGTCTTTGTTTGTCATGCGATGATGCCGCTATATATTCTTGATCTCATTCATAGCTACCAGTGCTACGTTGGACTCGGTGAGTGCGGGCCAAGAGCCCGTGGGTGCTTCACTATGACTTCGCTTGTACTTCCTGTGTTCTAGAAAGCCGTAATTCGCCATCTGCCGGCAGTTCAGGAGGCGTACCCGGTCGACTCCCCGTTCCGTCTATGCCCGGTTCCATCGAGTCCTACCCTTATATCACCTATATTCGTTTCCATATACACGCTTTTACTTACCCTAGCATTTTCGTCTTCACCAATCTTGATCCCACTTTGCTTGCTTGACTTACTCTGCGTCGCTCGCCCTCTCGTCGTCTGAAATGGTTCTTCTGGCGGGCCGGACCATCACTCAGCGCCTTAATAAGCCGTAATGCGGGCTTCTTCGGCTCCGTAGGACCGACAATATAAAGTCAGTCCACGTTTCATGAAGCAACGTTCACCATGTTCTACCCGCTTTTTGCTGGTGCAATACTCGTGGGCGGAGCCTTAGGCAGTGACCCAGCAAGCCCACCGCTGCCCGTTGTTAATTCGCTGAATATCTCAACCTGTCCTGGATATTCGCTCCACTCGGTGTCGGAGACTGACAATGGCCTGACTGCCCGGCTCAATCTTGCGGGGCTTGCGTGCAATGCGTTTGGAGTAGATGTTGTTGACTTGACGATCGAGGTGAACTACGAGACTGAAACAAGGTACGCGCTCTTACTCTTCGCATGGATCACACTTATGTGCAGGAAGACTTCACGTCCATATATTCGACACGGCAAATTCTCAATTCACCATCCCCGAGACTGTGATCGCTAGGCCCAATGCGTCCAGCTCCAATAATGTGTCGAAATCCGACCTTGTCTTCAATTACGACCCGAGCCCTTTCGCCTTTTGGATAACCCGCCGCTCTGCCCCACACGACACGCCACTTTTTGATACGCGCCTCTCTTCCTTGCCCCCGACTCCGATAGCCCCCGTTATCGTTGGGGATCCCATAACCGCGTTGGACGGCTTCCCGTTGGTGTTTGAGAACCAATATCTCCAGGTCGGTCATGATATCTGTTATTCTTAGCCTTAGTTCTGACCGTTCACAAGCTGACATCGGCGCTTCCCCTGGGAGCTAATGTGTATGGCCTCGGTGAAGTGATCGCAAGCAGTGGCATCAGACGCGACGTGGGCACCGATGGTGGTGTCGGTACAATCCAAACCAACTGGGGTCCGTGGCCCCCGCCCCATGGATCAGCTTTTATTAACGCTGTAGCTAGCGCGCGATATCCAGGACCCAATCAACCAAAACATGCGGGTATTTCCCAGTTTTAGTTGCTCGTTAGACCCTCAAACCACTGTCTAGGTACGGAATCCACCCAATATACATGGAGCACCGATTCAACTCCACGACCGATACCTCGCAATCGCATGGGGTGTTTCTATTCAAGTACGTCTTGGGTGTTACGCCATCACCATCATGATTCGCATCTGATGCGCTTGCGGCTGGCTTTAGTGCGAACGGCGCGGACATCCTCCTTCTCACGCCGCCAAACGCCAACGTGTCGCTGGTTGAGTATCGCCTTCTCGGCGGCACGCTCGATCTTTACTTCCTGTCCGGGCCGACGCCGCTCGCAGTCATGGAGCAGTATTCAGAGGTTATTGGGACGCCAACTTGGCAGCCCCTTTGGGGTTTCGGCTTCCATCTTTGCCGCTGGGGTTACACGAGCCTCAATGAGACCAGGGAGGTAGTCGCCAAAATGCGTGCGGCAGAGATACCGCTCGAGGTGATGTGGAACGACATCGATCTTTACCACGCCTTCCGCGACTTCACGACCGACCCGATACACTTCCCCGCAGACGAGATGCGGGACTTTATTCGCGAGCTCGTGCGTTAACTTCTAACAGAGGCAAATTATGAATGCTGATGAGATTTGCATATAGCGCCAAAATAATCAACATTGTGAGTGTCCTGCGACTCGTACGGTGGTTAGCGCTCACAAACTTATAGTCATCCCAATTGTGGACGCGGCCATCGGCAAGGCAACTAACAACACCGACTTCGTATGTACCATTCTCCGACTACGTCGATTGACCTAACGATATTGAAATCAACAGTATGATCCCTATTTGAAAGGCGCAGAGCTGTACTTAATATTGTTTTGCTGTCTGCCTTTGCACAGCTGATCGTATTTCTCAGTGATGTCTTCATCAAGAATCCAGATGGGACAGAGTACGTTGGGCAGGTTTGGCCTGGCTATACCGTATGTCTCCATTTTGTAGAATCTCCGAATTTAGGCTTTGATACTCAGTTTCATAGGTGTTTCCCGATTGGTTCGCACCCAATACCCTTGGTTGGTGGACAGAGGCACTGAAGAATTGGAGTGCCCTGGGCATCGAATTCAGCGGTGCGTTTTACGAAGTCCATTGAGGTGGCGCTGAAGTGTTCGCAGGTATTTGGCTCGATATGAATGAAGCGAGTTCGTTCTGTGATTACTCTTGGTTCGTAATTTATGTCGCGCTTCCACTGAGTACTAACCTGGAGTTGTTCAGCGGGACCGGCATCGATATCAGCAATACCTCCAGTACGGTGACAACGCGGAAATCCACATTGTTCCATCCTGATGTCTCTCTTCCAAGTGCCATTCCTCCTTCCCGGAGACCCCGGTAATCCCATTACTGACTACCCAGAGGGATACAACTCCACAATCTCAGGACCGAGTGGAAACATCACCGTTAATGGCACGCTGACGTACGGGGCGACTGCCTCACCGCTCTCGACGCTCTCCAAGCGAGGTATTGGGGCTGGTAACCAGACTGGCGTCGACCTCAACATGCCGCCGTACATCATTCACAACGGTCTGTTCCCTCATTTATCGTTGGTTCCGCCTGCCGATGCTTCAACCTAGGATTCACCGGACTCTCGAACCACACACTGGCGACCAATGCCACACACGCCGGAGGATACAGGGAGCTGGACACGCATAATCTGTTCGGGTTGATGGAGGCAATGACGACCCACAAGGCGCTCAAGACAGTCCTCCAGGCACAACGGCCCTTTATCATCAGTCGCTCCGCCTTTGCGTCCGCGGGAAAATGGGCCGGACATTGGGTTCGTGTCCATCTTGAATAATAGTTAGCTCATCCTAACAGTGTTAATAGCTAGGCGATAATTACAGCCTGTGGGAGTATATGTACTACTCGATCCAGGGCATCCTCCAACACCAGATGTTCCAGATTCCGTTCGTCGGCACAGATACCTGCGGATTCCAAGGCAACACGGACGAGGAGTTGTGCAACCGGTGGATGCAGCTTGCGGCATTTACACCATTTTACCGCAACCACAATCAACGAGGTGCAATGTCGCAGGAGCCGTTCGTGTGGGATAGTGTCGCCAATGCCTCGCGCACCGCGATTGCGGTCCGCTACGCCATGTTGCCCTATTGGGTATGCTGTCCGCCCTTTTAGCCGCACATGTCGCTAATCTTCACGAACGACCGCTGCAGTATTCGCTATTTGCCAACGTGTCCATGCAGGGCACTCCGCCTGTACGCGCGCTCTTCTGGGAGTTTCCGGATGAGCCCGAGTTGTTTGCTGTTGACCGACAATTCCTGATTGGGCGCGATATTCTGGTCACGCCTGTCCTGACACCAAATGTATCAAGCGTAGATGGTAAGTCCTGACCATGCAGCCAAATACCCTAGATAATATTTATCTTTCTCCAGGAATCTTCCCCGGGCGCGGAAAGACCGTCTGGCGCGATTGGTACACGCACGAGGTGTTAAACGCAACTTCAGGCGCCAACACTACTCTTGCCGCTCCACTCGGCCATATTAACGTACACGTCCGTGACGGAGCCGCAATCCTGCTCCATCAGACCCCCGCGTACACGGTGGAGGAAACGCGCCACGGAGACTTCTCCATGCTCGTAACCCAATCTGTGGACGGGCACGCGTTCGGCACTACGTTCATCGACGACGGGGTGTCAGATCCGCCGGGCCCA